TCACATGAAAATGCTGATACAGTCTAAATATAGAATTAAAACTTCTTGCTGCTGGTTGTACAGAAGTTAACAAACATGCTTAGAGTCTGAAAAACTACTACTGTGAGAGTCACACAGGTATATAAAAACTCATTTCAGAAGAATTCCTCTAATGGCTTTCTGATCTGCTTATCTATCTGGCATGAAAAAACAAGCCCAGGATTAAACCAGCTGGCGTAAACAGAGCTGGCGCTACCTGTACTAGGAGAAGGGTCAGGAATGGTATTCAGCAACAGCTTTTGGGAAGTTGTTCAAAACAATCAGAATGCAAAAAGTATAGACCAAATTTAAAACTCCTAGTTTTATAAACTCATTTAATCTATTAGAATTGAAAATTATTCTTTAAACCCCATGCTAAGCACATTAGCCCTTCTGAAATAACCATGAGGTCTCGTGTCACACCAGCCCCTACAGCCCCACTGCCCAGGCTCTGGCTTTCTCAGAGCAGATCAGAAAGTTAGGGCTTGCCTAAGGAGCCAAGCAGAGTAGGCTGCCTCTCCAGTACTGATAAGCAGCCCTTCACATCTCCTCCATTTGAGGTCTCCTGCATTTCCTCCAGCTCCTGAGGAGCTGCAGCAGAAGGTTGCTCAGTGGGGCACTGCTGGGGACCACGCTGGTCCCAGAGAGCGAGGCAGCAGCCTTGGGGCTGCTCCAGCTTCACCTCACTGCACAGGGAGTACCGGACAGAGCAGAGCCAAGTTCACCGCTCCTGCCTGCCCAGGCAGGATGACATGGTTAGTGCTAATGCTGTGCCAAGACTAGATTAACATAGTGGTTAATGAGACCCTTTCGCCCACACAGACTGAGCAGCAGATCTAATACAGTGGTCTTCTTTAAGACACTTCAAGTCAAGACCGTTGCTTGCTGTTGTTCATTCTCTGCATGCGTTAGTGGAGGAATGAGGGAAAAAACAGTAGTGCTGTAAGAAAAAACAAATGTAGTGCCTTTATTGAATTAAAAACTGGACCTTTCTTCAAAGTGTCTTTACATAACACATAAAACTTTAGCATCAGTTATATAAATATATCAAAAGGAACAAATATCTTTTAAAAAACAGTATTTCGGCTCAGTAAAATAACTTTCCTCTCCCTAAAGGTAGGGATAACAAGTAGCAGTTTTTCATTCAGTCTATTTCAGTCAACAAAAGCAATTTAGGAGGCCTGAGGTTGCTGGAACTCTGTTGCCTGGCCTGCATACTGCAAGCTGTCAAGGTGGAAGCGCAATCTCAGTATTGCACCCTAGTCCTCAGAGTACAATTACCATACTTCCAATGTCTAGTCTTCACATTTGATACAGGGATTTTCTTACAGAAGAGTTCTGTGACCAAACTGTACGGCTTCCGTCCCACTAAATTCTTCTACGGATGCAAACCGTAACAATTGGCCTTGCTCAGATGGATGTCAGTAACTTCAGCTGGATCTCAAGGCTCTTTTACCCTACAGTGGGCTGTCACTGAACATGCACCGTATTTAAAAGCTGCGTGCAACAGCTAAGCGAATGTTGCACGTCATGACCAGAACTGATCCTCCCTTGACACTTCTGCCTTGACTAAAACATAGAATGAGAACAGAATATAAGCATGTGCATTGCTCTACACATATATGACATTCATCAATAAAAAAATCCAGTACCATGACAGTTTGAAATAGTCTGATGTTTCAAATGCACTTTTTCCCCTCCTATCCTGAAATGTGGAGATTCTTATTCCATTCTGGCCAAACACACACTCAACTCGCAAAGCTCTGAAGGCACTGGCTCTCAGAAGCAGGGTTTCAAATTTCCACCATATGCTGAGGTAACCAGAGCACGTTACATGGGAGAGGAACCTCCCTCCACTGGTGGTGTCACTTATCAGGCAGAGCACAAGCGTCTCACCATCCCACCTTCACTGGGCAGCTCTCCCTCACACTACCAGTTTCACTTGGTTGAGCCACCCAGGAAGAAAAAGCTGACACTGCAGCATCAAAACCAGCAGAGGAATCCTGAAGGATGCAGAACATGATTTGTTTCAGATGAACAAGCTGAGATATCAAATGCCCAACTCAGAGGGAACATTTCTGCCTAATACAGCATTAGCTTAAAGCCTTCAAGGACAGCTTGGAAAGTGGTGGAGTTTGACATAATAGTAAGTTGCTTCTTTTAAGATGAGGGAGCTGCACAGGAAAAAATAGGCTGGAGTTTGAATGAGAGAAGAGCAAAAGATTCTGCGAGAGCGAAGCTGACAGAGTGCAAACAGGAACTCAGAGCTGCAAGCAGCTGCTAAAGGCTGTAACAATCAAATCCTGAAGCTTCTGTACACAAATAGATCTCAAAACTTAAAAATGTAACTGTCAAGCACAGACTGAAAAGCAATTTGGCTCTCACATCTCCTGCTCCTGTAAAATCGACAGCTATAAACATGGCATTAAACAGATTTGATCATTTCTTAAAATCAACCAAATCAATTCCCTCCTCCCCCAAAAAAATTGATCATTACAAACTACATCACCACCTAAACACAAGTCAAACATTGATTTCAGAGTTGACAAAATTGTGTCATACATCATATTGTTTAAAAAAAAAAAAGAGAAAGGATTCGACATGCTCAGCAAGTTTTAACCATTTCCTTTCCCCCACAGCTGTATGTAAGCTGCGACTCCATCCTCACTTCATCCAGCCCCAGCCAAATTAGGTACACAGTCACCTCTGATTCCTTACATCGTCAGGGGAGAGGGAAAGGAGAGAAGCAAGTAGCCACAGGGGGCATCTCTCTCTCACTTTAAGGAGTACTGGGCAACGCTATTTTAGCTCTGTTTTCTAAACGCATCTAGAGCCAAAAAGCATGGCCTCACCACCCCTTTTCTTCTCCCATTGTGCTCTGAACCCTCCAGGAACCAAACTCACTAATCTGGGAGAAAACCATCCGAAGGAAAAGACCGATTTCTGCCACCTTAGTCTGTTCAGTCAGGTTCAGCGTTCAGAGCTGACAAATGCTAGAGCCTGCACCCTGGCTTGGAACAGGAGGGGAGATCTGCTCTCCTTCAGCAACAGTGACCCAAGAGAAGGAGGTGCCCTGAAGCCCCTTGATCTGGTCTTTAAAGTAAGAGGGATGAAGCCAACCATCCCATACTCCCCATGAGACAGTCCATGTCATTCGCTAATTGTTCCACTTGGGTAGTAAGCACAAATATATTAAGCCATTTAACTGGAAATCATAGAGCAGATCATGGAGCAGATCCTCCTGGAAACTGTGCTAAGGCACATGGAAAATAAGGAGCTGACTGGTGACAGCCAACATGACTTCACTAAGGGCAAATCATGCCTGACAAATTTGGTGGCCTTCTACGACAGGGTCACTGTGGATAAAGGAAGAGCAACTGATGTTGTCTACCTGGACTTGAGCAAAGCATTTGACACTGTCCCACAAGACATCCTTGTCTCTGAATTGGAGGGACATGGACTCAGTGGATAAGAAATCGTCTGGATGGTTGCACTCAAAGAGTTGCGGTCAATGGTTCAATGTCCCAGTGCAGACCAGTCACGAGCAGCGTTCCTCAGGGGTTGGTACTGGGACCGGTGCTGTTTAACATCTTTATCAGCGACATGGACAGTGGGATTGAGTGCACCCTCACCCAGTTTGCAAATGAGACCCAGCTGTCTGGTGCAGTCGACACGTTGGAGGGAAGGGAAGCCATGCAGAAGGACGCTGATAGGCTTGAGAGGTGGGCCCACGCGCACCTCGTGAAGTTCAACAAGGCCAAGTGCAAGGTCCTGCACATGAGTTGTGGCAATCCCAAGCACAAATAAAGGCTGGGTGGACAACGGATTGAGAACAGCCCTGAGGAGAAGGACTTGGGGGTACGGGTGGATGAGAAGCTGGACATGACCCAGCAATGTGCACTCTCAGCCCAGAAGGTCAACTGTACCCTGGGCTGCATCACAAGCAGTGTGACCAACAGGTCAAGGGAGGGGTTTCTGCCCCTTTACTCCGCTCTGGTGAGTCCCCACCTGGAGTCCTGCGTCCAGCTCTGGAGCCCTCAGCACAGGAAAGACATGGAACTGTTGGAGCAGGTCCAGAGGAGGCCACAAAGATGATCAGAGGAATGGAGTACCTCTGCTATGAGGAAAGGCTGAGAGAGCTGGGGCTGTTCATGCTGGAGAAGAGAAGGCTTCAGGGAGACCTTAGAGCAGCCTTCCAGTACCCGAAGGGGGCCTACAAGACAGCTGGAGAGGAACTTGATCTTTAAAGGTTCCTTCCAATCCAAACCATTCTATGAAACAAAAAAAACAATCCTCTGGAGATTAATTTTTTTGACTCAGTACAGCATTACAACGGTATTTTTACAAAGTCTGTGTGGGACAAGTGACTAAAAGGTACAGTTCTTTGAAATGTAAAAAATATCAGAGAAGAGTATTTATGCTTTGTCAGGTTCAATAGCACTTTTGGGGGCCTGGGATTGTCTCATCTTTTCTCTTGGACGATACTACGCTGATGCAGTAACACAGAGAGATTTACCTTCCAGCAAACAATGAACTTATAACAAATGAAAGTTTTGTCATTTCATTAAAAAATTGAAACAAAAACATTTACTAGGATCAACCATGTCCACTACACAGTATCACTATTATAATTAATATAGTTCCCTTCATATTCAACCTTTAATTGCAAAAAACAATTTTTTTGTTGTTTTGATAGTTTTTTTCCCTTCCATTTTCAAAAGAATTCCACCAAATCAAAGTGCAATTCTTGGAAAAGGCCTCATGTACGTCTTACGCGATTTCCATGTCATCACTGTGCTGCTGACGACATCACAAGGTGTTCGGTTCATCTGGCCATAAGAAAGGATGATTCACATCCGTAGACGAAGTTGTAGTACCTTCAATCCAGAAATTATGGATGAGATTGTCTGCACAAAACAGATCAATCCACCACCAACTATGTGAACTGAAGTAGTCAACAAGCATCGTTTTCCTGTTGTTATTTAGGAAGAATTAAAGTCTCTTGGTAACAAATGCAGCCCTGATGAAGATACAGTTTTTCTGGATGGCATGTGGTAGCGCACTTTCTTCCAGAATCTGGTACTTGCTGAGTGGGACCTTTCCGAGAAGTCCCCTTTCCACCGGATAGCCCCATGCTTTTGCTTAATATATTTGATTGTTTCTGGCATGTCCGCATAATCTTGTATTTTTTCAAGTTCAATGAGAATTATTTTAATGCTGTCTTGGACAAGAGCATTATACACGGCTAGGTGCTTTTCAGACACATTGTCTGTAACACTGTAGCAGGAGGGTTCTGGTACTAAAACAATTATCACTCTTCTACTTTGATGGATTTTTTCATCAGCAACACTGATCACAGCTGTAGAGAAAGAATTTGTGCAAAATTAAGGCTGTATGTTTCTATTTTTTGTTACCAACATGTTGCAGCTGTTTCATTCACTGTTTGCTATTTGATTTGGCCACTGCAACACAATCTGACCCCGTCAGACTTCATGTCTACATTCCTGTTTTGCATAAACAGCGAAGAACTATCACCTGTCTACTTACCTCGCTAATGCCATTTTATTACCATCATAGGTGCAACTGCAAAAAAACAAGTTCTGAAACCATACGCCTAGACAAAACTGTGACCTTTTTCCTTAAATGGCTTGTTCTGATATCCTTAACTGTTTTTTACTACATGTAAGTAGAACAGAAAGCAAAGAAACCTCCCTTCAATAGCATTCCAGAAAATTAATTCTAATACAGCAAAACATGGTAAATACCACGCAAAACCCATATGGGTTAGCCCCTAGAATAGACTATTGCATTTTTTCAAGCTGGAAAAATAAAGCAGCACTTTAGACTGTACTTCTCAGAAACCCTTCCTTCTCAAACCTCTACCAAAAGCTTTCAGATGTAAAGAAGTGATCCACGAACCATCTCATGTAGTTTGTTTACACACCTTTTTTTAAAAAAAAAACCCAACAACAAAAACTTATATTTAAGGCCTACTATGTAAATCTATTCAGTCTCAGTATTATCTTTTTAAAGCCATAAGGCCAGTAAGGATTCTGAAGACTTTCATCATTTCCCCTCACATAAGCAGTCAGTGGGACAGACTTTGCAGTTTTCAGTGTCACATGCTAGGAATTTAAATTTGATGCGCATATGCACACAGAGGAAACCTCCACAAGGATTTTAAATCCTTGCAAGGAAGGCAATGCTTTGTAAGAACTTTCACAAGGGACAAGTAGTCTTTGACACAGCTGACAGCTCCTGATAACTTATTTTAGTTTGTATTCTTTTTTTTCCCCATCTGCACTGTCTAAGCATCCATTATACCCTTCATTGCATTCTGCTGGTTTGATAGCAGTACTCAGAGCAAATAAAAACGAAACAGTAGAGAAGTTATCCTGTCAAATGGCACCTCAAAGCAATGGGTTCTTTCCACACCACCCACGAGAACTACTTTTCCATGTTTCCAGGCATTAGTCATCATTCACAACCACAATTTCAGCTCCCCTTCCCCTCAGCATCCTTCCATCTCCAGATATCTAGGCTAGCCAGGCATTGAAAAAGCCTGGAAGAGGTAAATAATGACAAGGGGAAAGCTGAGATAAATAGACTTCATGGTAGTCAGAGAGAATTCCATCAGAGAGAATAAGAAAAAATCACAGCTCATTTGACAGTGGGAAATATTTAGAATCGCATCTGACTGACTGCCTGTTTCTGGGTTGTACTTCAAGCTGCCAATGAGAAAACTTGAGTGTAATTTGTCTTCAGAGAGCTTACCTTCTCCTGGTAAATCATCCCTCCCAAATATGAAGAGGTTATATCCACACTGTCTTTCTAAGACCTCTGGCAGTATCTTCAGAGCAAAAATATCCGATGAATACAAGCAGCTCTCTCTGTTCTTTGGATACAGAACATAAGCGTCATAGATCTTCCCATCTGAAACTAAAGAGGGAGCAATAGGAGTAATATAAAAATGGATTCTCAAGACAGAAAAGCAAACAAGCAAATCTCTAAACTGTTTTTTGCACACTTGAATCATTGTTTTAGGTCCTAATCCTGCTATTATTTAAGCATGTATAACTATACTAAGCCTGAAATATTTGTAGAATCAGGCCTTCTAGAATTCAGTATGCTGGATCTGAATAGGCAAAAGAAACCTGCAAAATTAAGTAGGTTTGAATATTCTTTTTTTAACTCTAAAAAAAAAAACATTATCACTCACGGGTCATTTCTGTAACCTGGAGTTTCAAAACACAGCAACCACTTGGACAAGAAAACAAAACCAAGGTATTTTTGGCAAATTTCAAAGTCTGAATAGTGCTACGTATTCTGGAACAAACTTTTCAGAAAGAACAAATTAAAAAGACTTCAAAGAACTCTAACAGAGTTTCAGTACATCTAGAAGATATTTTGTTTCTCTAGCCATGTACCTCCTCTCAGATATTTGGAAATAACCCATACTTCGGCATACTCTCATAGATAGCACCCCTATCAACATTTTTTCTGAATGCTAGGAATTTACAGAAAGTAAAATAATCAGAAGTGCCTTCAAATAGAAAAGAAAGTGAAATTTGTCCTGTTTTATCTATGGAAAATAACAAACACCCAACAATTCCACTGTATTACCGCTTTCTATAACAACAGCAACTAGAAGAAATGTGAACAACTGCATTCAAAGCGCTGAAGGGGGTGTTCAGGGAAAGGAATGATAATACTGGATTCCTGAAAAGTTGCTGATTTTTCCCCTGAAGATGCTTTGGTTATCTGAACTAATTCGAAACACCATAAAAACATGTTACCCTTTCAAAAACCCCAAGCCAGACCAATCACACTCACTGAGGTTAACTCATTGCTTTGCAAGGGAAGGTGGAAGCTCGTTACAACACACAGCACTGTTACACAAACATACCTTTTTTACCCAGGAAAGGATGGTAGAAGTCCCGATACCAAAGCACAATATCAATTTTGAAGATCTTGTAGATAAAGAGAGTAAAAAATACTAAAAATACCATGGAAACTCCTCCTCCAATTAAGTAACCCTGAATGTTCCAAGCTGCAGTAGAGTGGAGTAAGGAGAGAGAAAACAAACAAAACACAGTTATACATTAGAAACAGAGAAAGACAAGAGATGTTCAAAATTGTTTAGTCATTAAAATATTAAAAAAAGGAAGGAATGAGTAGGACTGAAAGTTTTTCATGTATGCAAATACTGTTATGAAGCATGTATGCAAATACTGTTATTTGACAAGCCTAATTGTATCTTTCAGAGAAAAGGTACCTTAGCAATAGGACAAATGAGCCTACTCTTCAGCTGAAACACCAAAATACTGACGCATATCCCAGTGCAGCAGCAGAGTCAGAATTCTTACACAAAATTTTATCAGTCAGAAAGCAACAAAGTCAGAGGTGGGAAGGTGATTTCCTGACCATGCTATCCTCCCCAGACCAACCAGCTTTCCATTTTCTCTAGCCTCTTCGAAAATTGAAGCTACTAATTTGTTACCCTTAATAGATTTGTTGTCCTTAAAACCAACACACACCTTCCACAAACTGCACTCTTTAGTTCATGCATATTAAAGGATTTCTGAGGTTAAATCCTACCCTGACAATCTTTATGGAGAGCTTGTGTAACAAGCTAGAACTCAGATCCACTTTTAGGCAATTATTTGTTTCCAATGTGGCCAGTCAAAGATAAGTTTGAGAATAACATTTGTCAAAGGATTGGCTCACAGTTGACAAAGCCAGCTCAATACAACCTCAATAGACCAGAGGCTCTTCTGCAGTTAAATTAAAAAAAAAAAATGGGTACTTATAATGATTTGCTTTTCTGTGTATCTGTTTTTAAATAAAAATAAGTAATTTCTTCAGCCCTGAATTTGAGTTTTTAAAGCTCACTTTACCTTTAAGTTCATCTACTTAAAAGAAAATTTAATGCTAGCCAGCAATAGGTCAAACTTATCCTTGTCTCTGATCACAAGCCTGGGGTCTCCAACAAGTGGCAGGATGCTCCCAATCAACATGCATGAGCCTATCTAGAAGGTGATAACACAGCACATGCATCAGTAATGGGAAGTCCATAATCTTTCCGCGCAATCGATTTCATTACTTCACCATCATCACTGTTAGAGTTTCTCCTACTATATAAATACATTTTTTTTTTCCTTTCTCTTGGCAATCTGAGCCCATTATTTTTTACTGAAAGACAGGACAACCAGGTCCACATATATATTCATGTCCTTTTGACAGTCTGTTCCACACTTAGTTACGTCTTCCCCCAAGCTCTTTAGAGAATTGGCTATTTTCACTATGCTTCTAGACACACGATCTCCTCTGCTCCACATGCTTCTTTAAGCACAAGAGTGTAAAATGAAGCACATTATTCCACTGAGGTCTCACATTTGCTTCAAATAAACTGTAATCTTAACATTAATGTTTCCTAAAACACTGAATGAGAGAACACAAAACAAATTAAAAGTACTATTTTCTTTAATTTTGCTAATAATATGACAAAAACTTCACAAAGAGAGGCATTGACCTGCATTGCCCACTTTGCTCAACGGCACATCATGCAGTTTTAGCTCTAAGTAGGATGTTGTCAAACTAACTGAGAAGTAAGCATCATTGATCACCATTTTATAAAGACGAGGTCTCTTACCTGGGCGTTCCAATTTGATGTAGGCTGTAAATTGTTGAGAACCATAGATGAAGTGACAGAAAAATTTATAAGCATAATCCTGTACTTTCACTTCTGAAATATTAAATTTTGTTCCAGATACAGGAATTCCATGAGGCATCACCTCTCTGTCATTAAAAAAAGAGTAAAAAGGAAACATCTGTAGAGAAACTGAGATATCAGTGCCTAGTATAGGATAGACTCATCTATCCACAAATACAAGAACATTCATTTTTTTACCTCTATAAACCTAAGAAGCCAGTGAAGCACAGCAAATATCATGCCTGTAACAAGCAGCTTCATGACTAGAGGTGACTTGGCTCTTTCCATACACATTGGGTTGTTGGGTTTTTTTCACTGAGTGGGACAGAGTGCACCATTAGTTCTGTATCATTTGCAAAACAGCTCAAAGGGGTGGCTGATACACCAGAGGGTCATGCTGCCATCCAGAGGAACCTTGACAGGCTGGAGAAAGGGGCTGACAGGAACGCCATGAAGTTAAGCAGAATGCAAATCCTGCACCTGAGGAAGAATATCCAGTCCCCAGGCATCCTGGACTGCATGAACAGCAGCGCTGCCAGCAGGTCAAGGGAGGTGATCTTTCCCCTCTACTCAGCACTGGTGAGGTCGCACCTGGAGTAGTGGGGCCAGTTCTGGGCTCCCCAGTACGAGAGATGTATGGATTTACTGGAGCAAGGCCAACGCAGGGCCATGAAAATGATTAATGGAGTGGAGCAGCTGTCCTCTGGGGGAACAGGGACTGCTCAGCCTGGAGCAGAGAAGGCTGGGGGCGGGTGGATCTTATCAAGGTGTGTAAATACCTGACGGGAGGGAGTGGATTGAGCCAGGCTCATTTCAGTAGTGCCCACTGACAGGACAAGAGGCAATGAGCACTGAAACACTTTCCCATCTGAACACTTTTTTATTGTGAGGGTGATCAAACACTGGAATAGGTTGCCCAGAGAAGCTGTGAAGTCTCCACCTGTGGAGATATTCAAAGCCCAGCTGGATACAGCTCTGAGCAACCTGCTCTCTCTCACCCTGTTTGAGCAGGGGGGTTGGACAAGACAATCTCAAGAGTCCCCTTCCAACCTAAGTGATCCTGTGAATGAAACGTTGTTCAAACCAGTAGTAACTAGTAATAAAAGTGTCAAGAGACAAAAACCATCTTCCAGCGTTCTTTATATTGATGATGAAGCAAAAACCTTTCTAAGCATACTGATGGACTCCCCAATGCCACAGTGTCCACAGTTAAGGGCACCAACCAATTTAGGAAAGACTGATGAACAAAATTCACAAAAGCTGGGTGATCTTGGTGTCAAATGACAAAAACCATAGCATTACTGCCTTTATGTCTCATATCTATTGTCACAAGAGGCTTGGAGATACAATATGCTATCCTGCTAAATACCATCCTGCTCTAAGGTAGATTTACACATATAAGATGGGAGGGGCTGCAGTAAGAAGGTACCTATAAACTGGCATTCTACCCTATATACCGAAGTGGCATGACCTTATATACTTCAGGAGGAAAACTCATTTTGCAGAACATCCTGAAGAACCAGTTTCTATTACATATATAATTGCCAGCAATTTCTGTCACAGGATGCCAATATAAACCTCATAATTTGGCAACATGTTCTGATTTGTTCAAGTCAGTTTTAACTTTCCTCCCAGCAGAGGAAAGAGTTACCTCCTAGCTGTAAGCCCTCAAGTCCATAATGTTGGCCATGCCTACAGTGTGCTTTGCTATGAGCAAACACTCCACAAATGTAATTGCTGAGAAACTGCTACTATTTTTTGAAGTAAAACAACGTTATTGCAATTAGATTCATGTCTTTGATACTGGATAACTTAATTTGAACTACTAATCCCGATTAGAACTTGCACAGGATGTATTTTGCACATCACCATCTCTGGCATGGGAAAATTAACAAGCAGGGTAGTGATTCGAAATGGGTATCACTTCCAGGCACGCCAAAAATCTTAACAGAGAATTGGTGTGAGTTAAATATCTTAAATGCTTTTCAGGAAGATGTGTTTACTAGCAGCACCAAGTTGGTTTCAGAAAAAACTGCAGTTATAAAAAGTTTAAACACAGCTACACAGAGCTGCACATGTGTCTTCTCTGGTGAAACTTCACGCCCTGAAGAATAATGGGCTTAGTTGTGCCTTAGAGACCAAAAGCTGGGGCCCCAGTATTTACAGGCAAACAACCAAGTATTACAGATCTATAATGAAAGTAATAATTCCCCCTAAAGGAACCTGGGGACAAAGTAAAACGAAGATTCCTTCTGATGGCCAGATGGAGATGAATGAAAAAGACCATTTCAAAAGCAGGCTGCAGCCTAACTCTCTAGCCATATTTTTCACTGATGATGGCACTTTGCAGACACAGCAATGCTTCTGCACAAGTGAGAGCTCATCAGCTGAGATTTTTTTCTTTCTGCTTTGTACTGCCTTTTAAGGGTTATATTTAACAGCAGTGATTGATACAATGAAAAAGCAAACAGCACATTCACACTCTGCTACAGCACAGACCAGTCACTGAGTAACAAAGGTCCTGCTCTCTCAAAAGAAATTGCTGGTTTTATCAACCTAATTTGTGTTTCATTTTCCTGAACATAAAAAACCCCTAAATGTCCTGCAACAACAGCTTCTGCTTTGTGTTCTTGAGGATTACTAGTTGTGTCAGTACGTAGAAAAGGACCAACTTCACAAATAAAAATAAGTGGTTTGATTTTTTTGTCTTGGAACAATGCATCCTTCCTGTATTAATGATAGAGGGCAGGCTTTAATTTATTTGCAAAAAGGATTGCATAAGAACAAATGCATAACAGGCCTTACAAAATTATGCATTTCACCACAGCACTATAAAAACCTACATGCAATTGCTTCATTACATTTGTATCAGACACATCAGTATTTATCACAACATGTTTATATTTTTAAAAACCAAGCAGTAAGAATATAATGTACTTGATGCAGACTTCTAATCAGTCTTTCAATGACTACTGATATTTGACTGGTAGTCAACTTTATGGTAAATTCACTGCAAATTACTGGAGATTACTTCAGCTAGAAATGCACTTACAATTCAATGTATAAGGATACTTACTCATAAAACTGTTCCCTGTAGGTGCTATCAAAGCTATCAACATCCTCATCATTAACTTGCCAGAATGGAATCAAGCCATTTATGTCACTTGATATATTACATTCCATAACTACATGAGAGCCTACAAAAAACATTTAAACACAGCAATTGAATGTCTTGTAACAGAAGCAGGATGAAGTGATTAGGGAACAGGTGGGAAAAGGAGGGCTACCAAAAAAACCCACTTACCTTACAAAAAGCAGAGTCATTAAAATTTATCCCTCTGTAATCCACACTGGGGTGTCCCCAGTCTGGATATAAGTTCCACCCTAAATGTAGGTGTCTAAATGTTCATGTCGATATTTGACCAGATGCCTAAGATAGTAACAAGAGTTTAGCTCTGCTGGAGTCGACTCACATTAAAGTAGATACCTGGACCTCATCAACTGAACAGCTCTCTAGACTCCACTGACTCCACTGAAAGATGCAGAGCTCAAATCAGTTGGATGTACACAGTATGGTGACATCCAAGATGCTCTCTAGCATCCAAGGCATCCATATGGAGCTGGCAGACAGGACTCCAGACCTTCAAGAAACCTGCACTGCTAGAGCAGCCAGATCACCCAAAACAGCACTAGACATCTATGTCTAGGCAACTGAATTGAGTCCCTGTTGATAATAGCATGAATTGAGGCCCCCCAGCTCATATGCAGATACCACCTGGAGCTGAATCCCATTCTTAGTGACCACACGTGTCTTTACTCCAAAACAGAGTCTTTTGGCCAACACTGTCCACTGGGATGGTTTCTGAATACCCTCACACTCTGCTCCCAGAGCAAGCTCACCTGTCACTCAGCTCCTTTGCCACCAACCGTCCAGATCCTACAGAATGCCTCAGTATTAACAAAGCAAGCCAAGTTGCAGCATATATTTATCGCCAATGTACCTCGGAGGGCTCCATTTACAGGAAGGTAAGCAGTTTTCCTGGAGTCCTTTCCTTCTGTATTTTACCCATGGGAGTTATGATTTGATAGGAGAAGGTGGGCTCTCAGTTCACCTACGTAAAGGCCTCAATGTTTCATTTCCTAGAACCACATCATATCTAGGTGCTTCCACCAAGTGATAGTCTCTATCAAAAGTATGGAATAAACCTTTAGCTCGCATGCAAAGCAGTTACTTGAACAAGAGTTCACACAGAAATCACAGATGCTCCCCAATCTCTTCCCCGATGTCCTTCCACCACAATAATGACTTTTTTTAAAGATGCGGTTTAGTTCATCGCACAGCTCTTCAAAAGGAAGAAAAACCTTAAGTGTTCCATGCCCTCCACTTCTATACACTCCTGCATGTACCGTTAAGTTTCTGCACTACCTTCTCCTGCCACTTCTTATGCAAAAATACAGGTATTTCCAGGTTCATACAGTTTTTTCCAGGTTCTGTCCTACAGGCAGGCATTTAACAGAAGATTTTTTTTTCCCCAGCATCCCATTAAATGTACCAGACAGAGAATATTACTTTTGAATGGCAGTGCCTTTTTTAAAAAAACGAAAAAAAACAAAAACTTCACCAACTTCCTTTAAAGGGTCCCCCTGTAATACGGAATCATTTGTAGTTGTTCAGTAGCCACAGTAAGTCCACTTTGTGGGTGAAGGTTTTGTGTCTCCTTTTAGTCTCATGTGTAACTGCTTGCCTAACATCTGTAAGGCAATTAAAGCTGGGTTTGTTCATCTTCGCTGGTCTAAGGCATCCAATAGTACATCAGCAACTTTTAATTAATGCTGAAGTCTCGAAGCCATACCAAATATGGACCAAATGCTATTCTAAAATAAGGAGTCTAAACAAGTTGTTGCATAACACGTCTTAATACAGGCTGAGAGTCACAGGCAGCCCCTGGATTAATAATTGCTCTATTCTCCATTTTCTCAGTAAGTACTATCAAGGATTAAGAAAATCCTAAAGGATGCCTTCAGTAAACTAAAGAGCCTTTTAAGGGCCTCAGCAGATCAGACTCCTCCTGGGAAGAGGTCGCATTGGTAAGTTTTTCTGAATTAAATGGGAAGGCATAACCAATTACCAGTCAGAACTGCGGATGAGATTTACATATTTTAATAGGAGGCAGATGCAGTACAGTGAAGCCCCACAGTAATATTACTTCATTTCTTCTACAGTTACAATTACAAATGAAAAAGAAAGACAAAGATTAGGGTTGGGCGATGTAAAAAAAATGAGTGGCAAGTCTCCCTATTTCAGTCTAAGATCTGGTGAGCAAATTTCCTTACTAGTGGCAAGGCACAAATCACGCACGTAATTGTAATGAAGCCAGAGAAGATGTAATTACCAGAAAACAAGATGCTGCTGAGCCATTTCTGAATATTTCCAACAGAATTAAATAACTATCTGAAGCCTGCAGGACTGCAAGCCTATGAGATAATGCTGTTTGTATCAGATCCCGAATATTCCCACTGTTTAAAACAAAGCCTTCTGGACTTTGGAGGAACATAATTTCTATTAAAGCTCATTCATTATTCTTGTCAAGATCTACTGATCTTCACCAGAACCTGGCAGCTTCAGAATGAGATATCAGGTATCTTTCACAAGTTGTTGAGGTCAAAAAGAAGAGAAAAAACACACTCAAAAACCCAAAACAACTGCAACAAAAACCCACAAACAAACAAATCAAACCACAAAGCCCACCAGTGTTTCAGTGCTGTTCACTTTAGTGTAATACCTTATACTCAAAGTTAGTATTTGGGCCAGATAAAATGTTTCACATAATGTGAAAAGAAGCACAAAGCCTCAACAGGAGAAAAGAACATCTGATATACAAAGTATTTACAAGCTCAATGTGAGAAAAAGCAGCAGCAGAACTAGCTGTGTTATGCGACACTACCATCAATGTGACATACATAAGAATCACAGAATAGTTTGCTTTGGAAGGTATCTTTAAAGGTCATCCAGTCAGCTCCCCTGCAATAAGCAGGGGCATCTTTAACTCGATCAGGTTGCTCAGAGCCCCACCCAACCTGGCCTTTCCAGGGATGGGACATCAACCACCTCTCTGGGCAAACTGTGCCAGCGTTCCACCACCCTCAAAGTGAAAAATTTCCTCCTTATATCCAGTCTAAATCTACCCTCCCTTAGTTTAAAACCATTACCTCTTGTCTGATTGCAACAGGCCCTGCTAAAAAGTTTGTCCCCGTCTTTCTTACAAGCCTCCTTTAAGTACTGGAAGTCCGCAATAAGGTCTCCACAGGAGCCTTCTCCTTTCCAAGCTGAACTCAAACTCTCTCTTTCTCTGAGCCCAAACTCTCTCAGACTTTCCTCACAGGAGAGGTGTTCCAGCCCTCTGATCATTTTTGTGGCCTCCTCTGGACCCGCTCCAACAGCTCCACGTCCTTCTTGTGTTAGGGGCTCCAAAGCTGGACACAGGACTCCAGGCGGGGTCTCACCAGAGCAGAGAGGCAGAATCACCTCCCTCGCCCTGCTGGCCACACTGCTCTTGATGCAGCCCAGGGTGCGGTTGGCCTTCTGGGCTGCAAGCGCACGTTGCCAGGTCATGCTGAGCTTCTCATCAACCAGGACCCTCAAGATCTCCTCTGCAGGGCTGCTCTCAATCCGTTCATCCCTCAGCCTGTATTGACACCGGGGGTTGCCCCAACCCACGTGCAGGACTGTCCTAGTTTTGGTTAAAACAGAACTGATTCTCTTCTAGAGAATCTTCCTCACATCTAAGTTCTTCTAAGTAACTCTATTTTTCTAAACCTGGCTGGCTACAAAGATGATGAGGGGACTGGAGCATCTCTCCTATGAGGAAAGGCTGAGGGAGCTGGGCTTGTTCAGCCTGAAGAAGAGAAGGCTGCGAGGGGACCTTATAAAGGCCTAGAAATGTCTTACAGGTGGGTGTCAGGAGGATGAGGCCAGACTCTTTTCAGTGGTGCCCAGCAACAGGACAAGGGGCAATGGGCACAAACTGAAGCATGGGAAGTTCCAGCTGAACATGAGGAAGAACTTCTTCCCTCTGAAGGTGATAGAGCACTGGAACAGGCTGCCCAGGGAGGTTGTGGAGTCTCCTTCTCTGGAGATATTCAAGACCGCCTGGACACGGTCCTGTGCAGCCTGCTGTAGGTGATCCTGCTTCTGCAGGGGGGTTGGACTAGATGACCCACAGAGGTCCCTTCCAACCCCTACCATTCTGTGATTCTGTGATATTTTACAGACACTGTCCGCTACAAAACTGGTAACACCTAATGTTGAGCTAACGGTAGGAAGGGAATGCAGAAAAAGATCCCTGCTTATAATTATTACTGTAGCAGCGATGGTCACCAATAGACGTCTTAGGTCCCCCAAGTGAGGAGTCGTAAAGGGTCGCACTCGCAGTGAGGGCCGGACAGAACAGGTGACCCGACATTGACCAGTGAGGTTTCCATGCCATGGACATCATACTCAGTTTAAAGCTGGGAGATCACGAGGGTCTCGCTCTCTTTGTCCACAGCCGCCTTCTGAAGAGGACCCTGCTCGCTATCCTGCCTGAGATCCTGATCCAGACTGCGATCCGTGCATTCCTCAGTCCAGTTCCTGTCTACTGCTGAGGGAGGCCAGCCCGGGACTACTTGGTGCTGCCCGGCAGCAGCTGGCAGGACACCAGCACCCCGGCACCCAGCTCCAGGAAACTCAGCATCAGTTTTGTCTATATTATTTTATTCCTGTATTATTAGTATTACTAGTAAAGCTGTTTCTATATTCAATTTGTAAGTCTCTCTCCCTTTTCCTCCTTTTCCCTTCCTCTGGTGGGAGGACAGGGTTAATGGAGAGCATCTGCCACGCTGTTTGTTGCTGTCCTGCTCTAAACGGTGACAAGGGCCTTGCACTTGGCCTTGCTGAACCTCATGAGCTTCACATGGGCCCACTTCTCAAGCTTGTCTACACCCCTCTGGATGGCAACCCATCGCTCAGGCGTGTCACCCGCACTACTCTGATCTGGCCTCAGCTCCCATATGGTGCCAAAGCCCTAGCACAGCCTTCCTCAGAGCTTCTCTAATGACCTAATTGGTAATAATCCTTCCTCAAAAGATTACAGGACAGCTTAGATCCTGTACTAGGAAATTCTAGTAAATAGCCAATCACACCTCAAAAATCAGTTAACGCCCATTTTAATTAAATGCTTTGAAACAGTTCTCATTGGTGCAAAACAAGAAAAAAAATTGCAGTTCAAGCAGCTCCAAAACTCATTCTTCCGGGCTACATCAGTAGAACACAACTCTGTCCCATATATGGTTCGATCTAAACATGTATAGGTTTGCTTAGGAAAAGACTTGCATACCATATACTTGGCCCACAGAATCACAAAATAACTGAGGTTGTAAGGGACTTTGAGAGGTCTCTAGTCCAATTTCTGGCTCAAAGCAGAGCCAGCTTTGAGGTCAGACCAGGCTGCTCAGAGTTTTATCCAGTCAGGTTCCGAAACCTCCAAGGACAGAGGCTACACAACCTCTCTGGGCAGCCTGCTGCACTGCCTTGCTGTCCTCACTGGGAAGAAGAGACTCCTTGTATCCAGAATCTCTTATTTAAGAAATTTCTAAGATAAACAATACCTGGGATATCCACCAACTAGCAGCCCACTGTTTCACAAACGATCATTATTTGAAACCTTTTAATACCCCAGAACAAGGAATAAAATCCAGGCTGTGAAGAGGGAAGGGAGACAGGAAACATACAGGAGGAGGAAAACTCTCTCAACATGTTACATATGTGTAATCATATTTCCACAGACATTGAGAAGTAGTAGAAAGGACATATGGCAATAATAAAAAACATAAATAAATGCATCCCACCCAACACTGCTGGTCAAGAGACGCCAATCCTAGGCACACAGTTATTGCCTCCGCAAATCACTTGCGGGAATCATGTTCTACCATCTGTTTTCCAGATATCCTCCATGCACGTACCTAGCTCCCAATCTTGCTGAAGTCAGTGGAACTGTTAATGTGTTATTTCAGAAAGACCAGGAGCTTATTTGTTTTACTGAATGTTAATGACTTCTTAAATAGTCACTACTTACCAAGTTCTACTTCAATTGTATTGTTCTTCGGATAAATAAACTTTGGTCTCCTCTGCAATGGTTTTTCTAACAGAAACATAAGAGAAAAATAAAATGTTCAGGCAAGAAGAATTTCAGAACTTACTTCAACTGATCTTTTCACAATGGTTTTGTTTTACTGTTTGGTACTATTGTAGTGCCATACTTACTACCAGTTTCAAACTTACAACAGAAAATATCTCATGAGATTTGCTGTGCTCTATCCGAATTATTCTATTTTAGTTTCCAAGTTAACAGAAGGCTTTATCTTACCTTAATCACTGAATCATAGAATCATGAAGGTTGGAAAAGACATCTAACATCAAGGCCAACCATCAACCCATCACCACCATGCCTGCTAAACCATGTCCTGAAATGCCCTATCTACACGTTTTTTGAACACCCCCAGGGATGGTGACTCCACCACTTCCTTGAGCAGCCTGTTCCAATGCTTTACAACTCTTTCAGTAAATACACTTTTCCTAATATCCAATCTAAGCCTCCCCTGATGCAACTTGAGGCCATTTCCTCTCATTCTATCACTTGTTACTTGGGAGAAGACACCTGCCTCACTGCAACCTCCTTTCAGGTAGTTGTAGAGAGGGATAAGGTACTTTTTCAAAAGTAAAAATACTTCTAAAAAAAATCTCAAATTTACTAGCAGTTAATATAAAAGTAATACAAAACCAGAAAAAAAAAAAGAAAACCAAAAAATGCAATGAAGTGTGTCAGAGAGATGGATAAGGAAGAGAAAGAGGGATTGCCTCACCAACCTCCTAGAGCAGGTGGATATCTATTTAAGTAAAAGACTAAACAAGCACACACTTAAACTGGGCCGGAATTGTATCATTCTGCACGATATATAGACTTGCTGCTAACAATCCACTGTTCTTGTATCACCTGTCTAAAGACAGAATTTTGATTAATCTAGAAAGATGGACACTCTACCTCCAGCCAGCTTTTCTGACAGAACTACTATCATGGTACTGCTCAGGTCATCAGCAATGCTGCCCACAAAAATGCAATCACAATCATCACAGTGATAAATAACAGTACTGGGAGAATAAGACAGCCAGTTCTGCAACCTGTTAGATGCAGAAAAGCAGAAACAAGTGCCAACAGTAAGCCAATCCTTTCCAGAGGAAGATTTATTAACTTTATAGCAGTTACACAGTTTGTCACATCTCCTTTCCCATCAGTTGAAATTCTAGGGAACTTTGTAAGCAAGTCCACCAACAGGGCCACAAGCAGGTGTTTTGCTGTGATGGTCTCTGCAAAAATTCCTCTTTTTTTAAAAAAAATATATTTTATTTAACAGTGTATTCTTTGTTTTAGCAAAAACACACATACACACACCCAGCAACCACTGCTTCCTTCTAATTATCACTCCTAACCCAGCATTTCTCATTTCCCCAGGACAATCATTCCTCAGAAGCAATGCTCAAAGGTAGCAGCATGCATTATTGTATTTTAATCTTGGCATTCAGGCAAAAATTAATTAAAGATTTGCAAGTCTAATTTCACACAGTTGAAAAGTAATATGCCAAATAGCTTATGCCTGCATACAAATATTTACAGCAGAGCCAAAAAGAGAAGAGAATAACCCCAACACACTCACCTTTAACCTCTAGATTCACAGTTCGTGAAACATTATATTGTTTTCCCATATATGTGTATACTATATGGCATGTGTAGTTTCCTCTGTCTTGTACAGTTACATTGTGAATCCAGACAGCATTTTCACCATCTGCCAAAATAAGTCGCTTGTCTTCAAGAAATCCAGGCTTACACTCCTAAATATATCAAAAGTACCTGTGATTTAAGGGAACTAATAATCTGATAATTAAATAAGTTACTGAACTCCACTGAGTATTAAAATACTTTCCAAATACTGATTATTTTGAAAACCACGATGTGGGTTCTTATCCAAGCATCACTATGCTCTAGTATGAAGCCTGACAACATCTTGCTACATTTGCACTGTTTAAAAATAACTGCAGCCAATCCTTCAATTTTTCAAGTGCTGTGTTTTAATTTGCTCCCTTCATTTAATAGATCAACAGTTATCTATTTCAGGTGTGATGAAAGTTATTACACCTGTAGCAGAATTTATGAGAATACATGCCTACATTTCTGCTTCAGTGAGATGCTGGTAACTAGTGGTGTCCCTCAGGGGTCAGTACTGGGCCCAGTCTTGTTTAACTTCTTCATCAATGACCTGGATGAAGAGTTAGAATGTACCCTCAGCAAGTTTGCTGATGACACCAAACTGGGAGGTGTGGTAGATACACCGGAAGGCTGTGCTGCCATTCAGCGTGACCTGGATAGGCTGGAGAGTTGGGCAGAGAGGAACCTGATGAGGTTCAACAAAGGCAAATGCAGGGTCCTGCACCTGGGGAGGAACAACCCCATGCATCAGTACAGGCTTGGGGTAGACCTGCTGGAGAGCAGCTCTGCAGAGAGGGACCTGGGTGTCCTGGTGGACGACAGGTTAACCATGAGCCAGCAGTGTGCCCTGGCTGCCAAGAAAGCCAATGGGATCCCGGGGTGCATCAAGAAGAGCGTGGCCAGTGAGA